GATTTCGGGTTTAGGGTTTACAGGGTTTTGGATTTAGGGCCCTAATTTATGGATTAGGGTATAGGATTTCGGGTTAGGGTTTAGGCTTAGGGCCTAGTGTAGGGTTTAGGATTTCGGGTGTAGGGTTTGGGTTTAGGATTTAGGGACCTAATTCAGGGATTAGGGTTTAGGATTTCGGGTTTAGGGCTTAGGATCTCGGATTTGGGGCTTAATGTAGTTACACAAAATGTTAGCACGCGATTGTCTTTTGACAAGTTTCGGACTGTGATGATGACGCCTGCCGTGAGAACAACGCTGGTATCAGAGATGCAGCAAGGCTTGCCCGGGGTGCCGCAAACCTTGGCTTTCTCGTCAGGACGCTAGCCACGGCAGAAGGCTTCCGCCTTGCAAGTATGTCGGGAACAATGCATTCTTGGCCGAGGCAATGAGATCCGGAACAATTGCTCTCGACAACCTGAAGAGAAATGGTCCTTCACTGGATGACTATGCCGAAATCATACTGGATCAAGCCCATGTGCTCGATGTCTACGACAATTACTTTCTTCTCATGAAGCCGAAGGGTGCTGCAATCCTGTATGATGATTTTTACTGCATCTATGGTGACAGCCTTTGTGGCGTCCGGCACACAGCCGGCACGTCTCGGAGACTTCTCATTGACATGTTTGAACGAGGCATGAGACTGTGCAGAGAGTCAATACGGACATTCACGTTGGAGAGGGAAATCGAGTCTGAGCTGCAGTACCTTGTTCAGGAGAAAGAAAGAAACTACAGGTTCCAGAACGCTCGTGAGTACGCAATGGAAAAATGCTTTTAGAAGATTTAGGGAACCCAAGCCCCGGAACCCCAGGCCCTAAACCTGAAACCCGAGCCAAAGACCCTAAGGACCCAAAGATTGCAAAGCAGAAGAAGGCCTTCAAATCCCTAAAGAAGGATGTCCAGCCCAAACCCCCGAAAGTAGCAGGAGACCGAGTTATTTTACTATACCCTGAAATCATGCCCCCCGAAATCCCCGCACAAGCCGGGATATCAAGTTACACCCTAAGCCCCTCCAAAAACCCTAACTCCGAAGAGACAAAGATCAGGGTATCAAGTTGGAGAAACCCTAAACCCTGAACCCTAAACATCCCTAGACCCCACACCCTAAACCCTGAATCCCAAACCTTAAACCCTCAACCCTAAACGCAGGATATCAAGTTGGAGAATTTACTCCTGGACACTTACGGATGTGTGAAGATCGCCGACTTCGGAGTTGCTGTTGCTGGGAGCACAGTATCGGGGGCTTAGGGCCTAGGGCTTAGGTTTTTAGCGTTTAGAGTTTACGGTTTAGGGTTGAGGGGCTTTAGGGTCTAGGGGTTTAGAGTTTAGGGTTCAGTTTGGGTGTAAGGAAAATAATTACCAATACTATTTTTTGGGCTCCTTGTTCTAATTATATTACATTATATTACAATTATTCATGCCCCTATAACCACCCAGACCTTCCACAACACCCTACTTAAGGCATATATCTTGAATTGTAGTAGGATTGTGAGTATGGCTTGAGGAAAATTCCTCAGTTAAGGGATTTGGAAAGGTCTGGGCAATCCTATTTGCGGGTTCCTGATTCTATATTTAGAAATAGCATGATTATTAAGTCCCTTTTTTAGAGTGAGGTTTAGGTTTAAGGCTTTACAGTTTCGGGTTTGGGGTTCAGCGTTTAGGGTTTTAGGGATTTGGCTTTTTCTGGGACTTGATGATGGTTTGCAGTTGGAGCTTTAGGTTTTGTGCTTTCAGGGATTTGATTTTTGGTTTGGGGTTTGGCTGAGGTAGAAGATGTAGGGCTCCAGCTACCTAGTTAGTAGGATACAACTCATACAGTATGTAGTGGGGTGACGCCGTCTTCCATGGTTTATTATGTACTGGGAGCTTTGGTTTCGCCTTTTGGCTGTTGACGGAAATTCTCCTGGGTTTTGAAGGTGGTGAGAGTTTCCAGCAGCCTGGAGTTTGGTGTGCTTAAAGGAGTGTAGGCTTTCAGGAGTGTAAGGTCTAGGGTTTGTGATGAGTTTAGCACTTAGGGTTTGGGAAGGGCTTTATGTGTTTTGGCATTGTATGGGTTCTAACGAGTTTAGGGTGTAGGGTGTTAAGCAGTTTAGGCTCTAGGATTTAAGGCCTTTATTTTTGGCCTATCGGTTTTGAAGAGTTGGGGGGTCTTGGGTGTCAAGGGAGGTTTAGGGAATTAGGGTTACGTGCGTGGGACGTGCCTATTTCGGGTTGCCGGGTGTGGGGGGGTTTAAGATTCAGGCGTTCGGGGATTCCAGGGCTTTGCTGACCCTAAGCCTTAAACCCAACTTGACAGGATTTGTACTGGTCGCGAGAGGGCCCTGTGAGAGTATGGTTTATGAGGATTCTATAACGGCGCCGCGAGGGCTTTGAAGGGTTTTAGGGTTCAGGACAATCGTTTAGGATTCAGGGTTTTGGGTTCAGGGCAGCAGAATTTAGGGTTTATGTTTTTGCCTTCGTAAGGCGGTGCCGGTTCCGGCTGGCCTGCATATTTGTTCGCATATTTATGAGCTCGGCTACAGTACTTCAATGCGCCTCGAATCACGGATTTCGCGATGGGGTTTGGGTTTGGCCGTTTCGCGCTTTTCGACTTTAGGAACGGCCCAAAAAGGCAAACCCTGAAGCCAGGAAGCCCATCATGAGAAGGTCTAGACTCTTGTCCTTAAATCATCCGCAAGTCCTGCGACTCAGTCTCAAAAAACACTGCATTCTCGCATCATCAGATCTGGGGGTTCTGGGTAATTGCTGACATGTTCTCTTGTAGTCCTTATAAAAGAATACAGACCGCTTGGTGGCAGGTCCGAGGAACTTTAATCTCCTAGAAACTACTCATCATCGTCATCGCATGGAGAATGGCACTCCTGATCATAAACCTGCGATCCCCATCACCGTTGAGGTGTTGGGATACAGGTTGCTCGGCTTGGGGTTAGAGGATTAAGGGCTGGGAATTGAGAGCTTTAGGGTTCAGGGTTTAGGGTTTAGGGTTTATGGGCTTTGAGTGATAAGGATAAGTGACACCCCAGTCTCTACAATCCAATCCCTTCAAGCCTATGGCAAGCAGTGTAACAGTGCTGAACGAAAGAGGCCTATGATCGATGCATGCAACCCAAGACTCGACTCCCGAATCCAAATGGATTGGGTTTCCGAAAATAGGGGACCCTAACATAGTACCCTGTCCTCATCTCCGGCCATTCTAACAAGCCTTCAAGAATCTTATCCGTATCGATTCCCAGGCACTCAGCGGAATTCCAAAAAGGCGCGCCACTGCCCCATTATCAAACCCTTCCGAAGCCGCTTCATAAAACCTTTATTGCATTATGTAGATAGAACGAACCAAAAAGCTTAAACCCTTAAAGTCTAAACCCTATATCCCTTAACCTTAAGCCCCAATCCGTTCACCCCCTAGCCCTGTTTTGTCCTGAAGGTCGCGCAGCCCGGAAAGCAGCTCCATGAGCACTGCGGCACACCTTCGATTCTTGGCTTCTGCTCGGCTTCGGGTTGCAGGTTGAGGGCCGAAAAAGGGTTTAGGGTTTAGGCTTTTAGGGCTCAAAGGATGTAGGGGTTTAGGGTTTTAGGCTTCAAGGGTTTAGGGCTTTGGGGTTTAGGGGTTAAGAGTTTCGAATTTAAGGTTTAAGGCTGTAGAGCTTAAGGGTTAGGGTTTATAAGGATCTAGGGGTCGGGCTCACAATTTAAAAATGCACAGACGTCC